ACTTACAATTACCTATACGCATTATAGTCGGCGGTACGCGGTCCGTTTATTCTTACCCCCTAAGTGGCGTTAACGATCCTTATAAGGGTATTAGTGCCGTAATAGCCGAGGCGTTTATACTACCGCTACGCTATAGTCTTCTACGGTTATCGCGGTTATTATGATCTTCTATACGGGTTATCGCGGGGGTACTTTACCGAGACCGCGAACGCGGTAGCGGCCGTGGCTTCCGCGCGCTCGATTATATACTAGCTATAGATATCTAGTAGCTTATAGATAGGCCGGTTATCGGCGGAGCTAATACTAGTATTACTTACGGTATTCTAGTAATAGCCTTATAGGCATAGCTAGTATTCCGAGATAATATTAGTAATGAATTTCTTATAGTATACGATGTTATAAAGGCGTAATAGCCTTTTTATACCTGATAAGGATTATACACGTAGCTTAACGTCTCCGTATCCAAGGATAAAAGCCTTATAAGTACCCACCTAAAAGGATAAAGATAAAGTATCCGTGGGTAGTCTAACGGTTATAAAATAGCCTCGATTATTAAAGATATAGATTAACGATCCTAAGTCTAGGATTACGTAGTATAATAGCGCTCTAGCTTAGTCTATAAAAAGAGATACCCCCTATTCTTATTATAATCTTAATAGTGTTATCGTACGACGTCGCGCTACCCCTAGGTTAGGTAAGCGCCTAGTCTCTCCGTCACGGTAACGGATAGGTCTTTTAAAGCTATACTTATAGGCGGCGTAGTAACCCCCCGATTTTCTTATTACGGTATAATAGTTATAATAGGCGTAATATTATAGAGTTAATCTTCTTAGACTTCCTCTATCATATTAGCGGTGATAGCCCCTAAGGCTTCCCGCCTCTTCTATATCACGGTATCCACGCGGCTTTTAAAACTATAATTACGTATCTTCTTTTCTATACCCTTTATAATATCTTCGCGGCTACGCTAGGTATAAGGGCGTATATCCGGCCTTATATACTAATAGGCGGCGGTAGTATAAGGGTTCTTATATATCTTATAAGGCCTCCTTATTATAGGAGGGATGGCCTTTATGGATATATTACTATGAGGACGCTTCTTTTTAATTCTTATTATTAGTAGTATCCTTAGTATCAGGGAGGTTCCTAAGGGTATTAAAAGTGCCTCTCCTAACTCTAGGCTTTATAGCGGTGAATTATAGGCTCTTTATATTACTAAGAACTGCCTATAAAGCCTTTACGAAGTCGTTAATCGTTAGCTTATTTTCCGTAATCTTATTATAGTTATTTACTAGGTAGTTATTACTTTATTCCTAGGTAATAGGTCTAATAGCTTTTGACGCGTCTTCTACCTAATAGTCCATGCTTAATAGCTCTAAAACGTCTATATATTTATAGTGTATTATCGCTATTTTCTAGCTTATAACCTACCCGTCTATATCCTTAGGTATAGCCTTTATAGGCGTGGTATATTATCGGTATAGGACTAGGGCTTCCTTACGGAGGTTTATAGGGGTTAGTCCTACGTGCGTGTATAGGAGGGTAATCTAAGCTTATAGGTTATTTACGTTATCGTCCTATGGTTATATAAAGAGGTTATATAATATAGTATAGATAGTCCTTTCGATATATAAGCATACCTTATTAAACTCCTTCTACTACGCGTCGTAGTCTGATTTTTCCTCACGGTATACGCGGCGATCTTATAGATAACGCGTACGTCCCTTTTTAAAGAGGTCGTTAATAGATATAAGCGTCCTTATCAGTGGTTCTTTTATTACGGCCGTAACCTTCCGGTAAACGGCCGTCTTCTTTTTACTAGCGGCCATGGCCGCTATAGTACCGGCTATAATAGCCGTGGCTATAGCGTCTATAGCATCTATAGCCTTATCGCCCTCTAGCGTAATAGTAGAAGACGGAGTAACCGTGACGGTAGAAGACGGGGTAGCTATAGCCTCCTCCGTATCGGGGTCTATGGTAAGGGCTTTATATTTACAGATATTAGGTAGTATAGGCTTAAGAAGCAGGTAGGTATCGGCCGCCTTATCGCTTAGCTTTAGATTAAGATAGTTTTCTTAGTAGGAGGTAGATTTACCGCGCACGGCGTGCTCCTATATTACCTAATCCCTTTAGCTAATAAGGGTAATAGCGGCCGCCTTCTATTCGGCGTTAGATATATTAGAAGATATCTTTATTTATTTATCGGTTAGTTAATTAATAGGTAGGTTAATTAATCTTTTAATTACTCTAATTAGGTTGATAGTAGTTATTTAAAAGTGCTTATATAGACGTGATTATTGTTTTATAGTAGAATAGGGGTAGCCTTATTAATATCTATCGTTTAGGCGTTATAAACCAGGCTTATAACTATCGTATATTAAAAGGCATTTAGATAATTAACTTAGTAGAGTAGAAATCTCGTATATATATATTATATCCAGTTATATCTAGGTAAGTCTCTTATACCCTTAATTTAGGTGGTGAAGACTCTATTATGGGTACTATATTATTTAGATCCTATCCGGTCTTTTCCGGTATCCGCCCCTATTATATCCGAAGCCCTTAGTTATGGCGTGGATCCCCCCTGGATCCCCTATGGACCACGTCGGGGTCCGTGTGCCCATGCGACAAGTTTGGCCAAGTCAGACCACCCCCCCTAACCACCCACCTAACCAAGACGACTTAATCCAAGAATAAATCTATTTTTATCTATAATATAGCTCTTCTAGTAGAAATTCTATATATATAGATTTAAATCTAGCTTCGTGGTCCTTAGGTAATATATTAATTAGCTTAATTAACGCCTCTCCCTTTATTACGCCCTTATCATTACCTTAATAGAGGTAAAACCGTTCGTTTACCTTTAAAGGCACTTTTACCCTTTTTTTCGGCCTTTCTAGATCTAATTATACCTTTAACTAACTAAGCTAGAACTGCCTCTTTACTATTAAAATATCTTTTTTATCCAGTGCCTTTACTACCTTTATAATCAGCCGCTAAGTATAGCGGGTAGTAGTATAAGAGGTTTTCCGGCTAAAAGATAGCTCTCCCTATATCTCCCGAAAATCCTATAAACCTTAGGGTGTTATCTATTAATTTTAGGTAGTACTAGCCTACTTTAAAGGAGTTATTAGGCGTGTGCGGGAATCCTTATCTATAAGCTATAGGCTTAGAAATACTTTTACCCGATTAACCAGCCACTACCCTAATACCCGTTATTCTGCCTTAATATTCCTCGCGATAATAGCGTTATTTTATACCTTACTGTAATAGGTAAGAAAATTCTATTTCCCGATTAGCGCGTTATCCGTAAGATACGATAGTTTTATAAGGTGCTTATAATAGCATGCCTTAAAAGGCCTAAGCACGGATAAATTAAGCGGCTAGGTAATGGATTATAAATAAGGAGGTAAAAATAAGAGGAGCATATTACTCTAGTAATATTTCTATATGAACTTATTAGAGAGGTGGCTCCTATAGCCGTTTAGTAGTAGTAAATATAATAAACCTGCTATGTCTGCTTTTACTTTAGTATAAGCGTTAAAGACCTTTTTAAGCTACTCTACGGCTATTTTATTAAAGGCTTAACCGCTTTTAGAGGCAGTAAAGCGCTAGCTATTATAGTTATCTAGATCTTTGGGAAATTATTACTATTAGACTAATTTTCCCTTAAAAATAATAAGCGGGGGTAAGGATTAGCCCTCGGTAAAGATATACTCGATAATTAAGGACTAGATCCGCGTACTAGGTATTTTAACCTAATACTCCTCCTTCCCGCGTGCCCTATTACTAGGCTATTTATTCATTACCCCTCTTATATCCCTATTTTATTTATATTATATTAAAATCGTGGTAGAATAGCCTTAATCTTCGGTTACTTAAGTAAGTTAAAGAATTCCTATAAAACTTTAGCTATAACGCTTTTAAGATAGTAGCTCTCGATTTGTTTACCTTTTATAGTCTTTAAAGAGGGATTCCTAGCTAAATTTCTAGCTATCTAGTACCTCCTTAAAGGATATATATTATTCTAAGTATATAAGATCTTTTAGGCGAATTCCCTAACTTAATAATAAGAGGGCGTAAACCCTAACACGGCTTATACCAATACCAAATCAGTAAGGGATTACTCTTAAATAGGCGTAAGCCTTTAAAACTACCTGTAGGCGATTTTCTTAGGTTAGACGCCTTATTAACGGTCGCGAAGAGTAGTTTAAGGGATACTCTAAACGCGTGAAGCTTAGTTAATACCCGCGCCCGAATCAATATTATAGAGTGCGAGTTATATATCACTTTCCGTGTATTTTAGTATAGTAAAACAGGATATATACTTTAATCAAGCGATTTTTAATATTATATTAGGATATTAACGCGTTTTTATTCGAAGTGGTGGGTTATAATATAGGCGGTTAGGGGGGGTGGTTAGGTGGGGGGTGGTCTGACTTACTTAATCGGCTTATACGTGTAAAACCCTGCTAAGACCTATTTCCTTATCTAGGATAAATAGACATAGATACTTCCTATAGAGGAACCTTTTCCCCTCTATAAGCGAGTACATATATAATTCCGCGTACCTTAATTTATATTCTGACAGGAGCTTCTAATGGCTTATTCAGGGTGGGGGGCATATTGCTTTTACGACATATTAGAATTTGCTATAATCTTTAATCAGAATATAGTTTTACCGCGTTAAAATCTAAGCGCCTACTTGCATTCGCTGTAACGTCGATTTAAAACACCATCTCAACTCTTATCTACGAAGCAACAATAGCTTCAGCTTAAACTCACTCTCGTCAATCTCGTCAACCTCTAATTCTCAGTAAATAAAATACCACAATATTCACAAGCAAAGAAGAATGCTCGACCCCAGCTCTCACCCGGGCGAGGGGTACGAAGAACCCCTTAGACTGTGCAGAACAGAAAGGGCCTTTTTACGACATTTCGAACGCGCTGCCCCTGGAGTTATGGGCTCCAAAGTCAGCACGCTACCCGTTTGGCCGACTCGGGAAATGGCCAGTGACATTGGTAGAAGTTTTGTTGAGACCATTATAACCCTTTGGTTCTCCTTACTGATGCTCTCTACGATGCATTCAGCTCTCCTGGAGTCTCGCTATTACTTTCCTTACCAGATCTTTCCTATTTTCACTTAGCCAAAACTCAGCCCAGTACTTCCCGCATCTGTATACTGAGGGCTTCCGTAGCCAGATCATGAGGCACCGCATTCCCACACTACTTCAGTATTCGAGTGGTCTGACTATCTTACTTGTCAAAGGCCTAACGTCTCATTGTCTCCTAGGCTCCTGCAAAAAGCCTGCAAATCGGCCACCAGGTCCTCCATGACCTTATCGTCCATGATTCCATCCTGCCAAGTCACCGTGCAGGTTAGTTCACCTCCCACGAGACCGACCAGGTTCAACATCACGGCGGCCGATGTTTTCAAGGCCGACTGCGAGAATACCGCCCTGGTAATCTTCCATCTATCCGCCGCTCCCTCAGCCGCCTCATTACCGCAGACACCATCGTCATGGGCCCCAACCTGCTGCTCCGACGCCGCTGTCGTTTTGCGGGGCGGGCATGGCAGCATCGCGCCGACATTACTAACCTGCCACGTCCAAGAAAACGGCTTCCCATCAGCATAACGGACGAAAGCACGCATGTCGGCGATGTACTTCAACAGCCCCGAGACATCATCCCGCGGCAGCGTAGCCACACGTTCCCTGAGACTCGCCGTCACGGCGCGCGCCACATCCCACATGGCCTCGTCCGCATTTCCACCCCCTCTCCCCACAGCGGCGTCGCGTAGCCGGGCCAGCGTCTCCAACGGCACGGAATGCGCGATAGAAGACACCAGAATGGCGAACTGCGTCTCCGGGTCAAAGGAACCTCCATTAGTCGTTCGGCGGTCGACGCAGCGGCGCAGGCTGATGGCGGACCCGGAGAGGAAAGAGCGCGCCTCGGAGGCGGGGAGGCGGCGCGCGAGCGAGGTGGCCGTGAGGGCGTGGAAGAGGCCCGTGGTGGTGGTGTCGTGGGCTCGGGCTAGGGGTACCAGCATCGTCGCTGTACCGGCTGGGATGCTGAAGAGGCGGAGATTCATCGCGTAAGCACGTGAAATATCGGCGGGGAGGAGGCCGCTCCAGGGGTGTGTGTCGGGTTTCGATTGGAGCCAGGAGGGGCCGTAGCCGCGCCAGACTGCTCTCAGGAAGTAGGGCCAGCTTAGGCGGAAGGGGACGAGCTCCTCCTGGGTGGGTGCGAGGTCGGCGGGCTCAGACAGAGTGAGACTAACGCCGCTGGAGAAGAGAGAAGAGGTGAGTGAAGGGTCTGGGCTGCTGACGGCTCGGAGAAGCTGGTCGTGGAAGATGGTGCCGCTGGTGCCGTCGCCCAGGGCGTGGTGGTAAGTGTACAAGACTTCGACGGCTGCAATGGCATCGGGATCATTGTTGTCGTTGTATTTGTCAGTGTCTTCTTTGGACTCGCAGATGATGAAGACGGTCACTTTCCATGGGGGTTGGCGGTCGAGGTTCTCCCAGGGGTAACTGAGCTGTTCGCTGAGCTCGCACTCCATGGTCCGGTCGATGTCCTGGGCGCCGAGAGGATCGAGCCAGCGGATGTGGCGAGACAGGTTGATGGAAGGAATATGAACGTAGGCAGGGTAGTTGGTGTCTTCGTCTATGATTCCGACGCGCATATATGGCTGCTCAAGGACGACCCGGGCAACGGCACGTTCGATGGTTGGGCGCAAGACGTCAAGCTTCGAGATGCGACGAGGGACGGCATAGCGACAAGCAACGGAGACTCCAAAATAGAGGCCGAGAGAGTGTCGCGCGGTTGAATACTGTTCCCTACATCGGGTGAGTTAGCACCTCCCAAGATGTATGAGGCGATCTAGCCGCTGCCAAGTACGTGTGACTACGTAAGTAGAGAAAGGGGCTGCGGACATCTTGCCCAGAACTCTCACAATCTGAGGGTCAGCCATTGCGAAGAACTGGATATGGACGTATAAGTAGTATCCTGTAATTATATGGAGCTAGTCAACAACAGATAAAAGCGACTTGGACGAGAAATATCCGTGACATGTCGGGGTATAGGACGAGCTAGCAGGCGGTTGACACTCAGTATGAGCAAATACAGCTTCAATCAAGCAGAGTTTTTTTTAAGTCCGGGGGAGCAGGATGAGCTCCGCCATGAAAGCTGCGAAAGACAGAAGATGAACGATGGGTCACGAGGCCAAAGAGAAGCGAAGGGACGAGAGGAAGCCAGGGACGGCGTCGGCGATGGGACATCATGGTTGTGGTTCATCACTGGGACCAGAATGCGATCTTATGTACTTCGTTTATTATTCCAGACGTTGGCAATGTTGGCAAGAGTGAAGTGATTAGAATTCGGGTATGAATGTAAGTTCGTGGATCCGACCTTGATATTGTTCTTGGGTAAGGGGCTCTGTCGTTTGTCTTTGTTCTTGTGAAGATTGACCAGGGGGATCGTTTTAGCGTATAGTAAGGTACTCAGTACGGATACAGTGTGGCACGTTCTCCATACAGTGGTGGGAAGTACTTCTTCGTATGTACCGTGTGACAACGGGAGTTTCTTAGTGGTCATAGTTTGTAGGCTTTTAGCCAATCAAAATCAAGAAATATAGACCAATTTCTTCCAATCAACATCCCCAATTCCCTACCTTGTAGATCCATCTGCACTAACCTATATCAGGACTAGTTCCTCGTCCCTCTCGACGTCCGCTTCGCGCTTTCGCGAACTCGACGTCTTATTGTTGCTCCTGCTGTCTGTGTTGCTCCTTCCTCTCGAAACTCCAACATAGGATCACGGCCCCTTCTGCTTTCTCTTCTCCTTCAGCCAATATGACAATCCAATAAGCCACGAAGAGCTGCCACCTTTCAACTCTCTATTATAATCCTTTTTTCGTCACTCGCTTTCCTCTTCTTTATTTCTCTTCGTCCAATCCCTCGATTGCCGCCTGTGTCATGACCCCCTTTTGGCCCGATACCATGCACTCAGCCGCTTCTTGATCTTCTTTGTGTCGTCGACTATCCGGTGTACTTTTAATCCATTGCAGAAGTCATGGATCGCAATCTCTCTGTAGGTGGTGGTCGTGGTCGTGGTGATGGCCGTCATGGTGGCAGTTCTGGTGTTCTGCCCCCTCGACACAATCGCAGCTCACTACCTCTCGTCGTCAATCGAGAAGACCGAAAGCCTCTATTCGGAGAGAAGCAAAATAAACAGCCTATCAGGCAGAAGTTGGCATTCAATACTACTTCGTCCGACGCAAGACCGAACACCGCTCTATCCGTATCGCCGGGTTCCGGGATCCCTCGACCCGGCTCAGTCTCACCCTCCCCCTCCATAACCTCCAGCAATGGCGCCGATGGTCCGTCCCGAATTCCGCGACCCAGTTCCGCTGCCGGCGGTGCCTTTTCCAAGTCCAGGCGTCCCATGTCCCTCGCCGACGCGTACCGTCTCGCCGCAGCAGAAGAAGGATACGTCGACACCACAGCACGCACGCGCAGACTCTCGCCCGTGCCCATCGACGGCTCCCCGAGCCCCGCTCCCCGCCCTCGGCCATCATCACGAGCCTCCAACGACCACAGGATCCGCCGTATGGTCAGCACTGGACCTCTCGAGCTTGGACGGGCCCGTCACCTACCCAGACCCATCGATGACGACCCGGCTGCCGACGACCAATCCATCCATAGCGCCTCCAGCTCCGCCAGTTTCGAAAGGCGGTTGAGCCAATTTGCCCGGGATACCAATCGCTTGTCCATCTCCCCTGGTCGCGTCGTCGCGGTCGCGCCCTCAAGCATCCCGAGACCCGGGTCGAGGCATCAACACCAATACACGGCGGACCCCGCCCTGCAAAAGAGAGCGAGCATGAGCAGTCTAAATAGCATGAGCAGCGTGCCGGGGACCCCTCGCACCGAGGCATTCGCTAAGGGACACGTGCCTAGAGGTTGGGTCTCTCATCTTCTAGCCAAAGAAGAGCAGAGAGCCGTCAGCCCCAAGCCGGGGAACGCGGCCAGGGAACACGCCGCCAATGTACCGCGTCCCTCCGTCGAAGGAGGCAGCCCGCTGCATCAGCCCGCACCGCCTTCTGCGCGGCCCGCCCCTGACGAACTACAGAACCCCTCCCCCAACAAGAGCTATGCCTGGCAAGTCGACCAGGATTTTACCGCTCGCGACCTTCAAGTCTCCGACAGCCCCCGCCTGAACATGGATCAGGTCACACTGGAAGATTTCACCGGTCGGAGACTAGTCAACCCCGCTGCCCTCGTCCAGAATCAAGGCACCCGGATGGGGAGCCCGAGAAAGAGCGGCATGTCGATCGGGGTCGGACGTGCTAACTCCAAGCTGGCCGAAATTCGCCAGCGCGAACTCGATGTCGAGCGGGCGCTGGAAGCCAGCCCTGCTCAGGACGAAAATGACCCGCACCATCTGGTGGAGAATACGAAACTTGATGATGTCCAACAGCGCGAAACCGAGGTTGAAGACCGGTTTGCGCAACTTTATCCTCAAGGGATGCGGAAGAACACCAAGCTCGACGAAATACGACAGCGTGAAATCAAAGTAGAAGAAAATTTTGCGGAGCCCGTTCCGCCGCAGGAAGTTCGGAGGAATACCAAGCTCGACGAGATTCGAGAACGTGAAAAGGAGTTTTCATCCAACAAGGCGTTAGCTGCGAGCTTCCTCGATGATATCCGAGAGCACAACGCATCCAGGTCGTTGTCACCCGATTCGATACCCCACAGGAACCGGCAGCGCGCAAAAGAGTCCACCCCCGAACCTCCCGCGCAAAGCAAGCCTAGGCAGCATGCTCCGGGTGACAACGTCACTTTGGGCGAGCAGGGCGAGCAGATTCCCAACACTCCGGTCACGGTATACCGGAAACAAAAAATACCGAAAGACGAACCAAAGGGAGAATCCCATGGCGGCGGAGCTGCGGTTTCGAGCAAACCGAAGCCCGAAGAACCAGAGCCTCATTTTCGGCCCACTCATAACCGCGCTGATTCAAGAGATCTCCTTCGACGTCTCGCGCGAGCCGCCAGTACCAGTCCTGCGCCCGAACAGACCCAGCCGAGAAAAGACTCGCTCGACAAATCTCATCCTGACGCCGAGAAGACCAGGGACAGCAGCAACCGCCCGGCACGTGCATTGAGCAGCGACACGAATAAAATTTCTTCGGACGCCCAAGAACCCGAACAGGCCAAGTCCTCCGTTGGCTTTCTTGGCATTCGCCGTGACCCTTCTGTCGACTCTAAGAAAGACAAGAGATCGAGCATGGCCATGTCTGATAAGTCTGACAGCGATCCGACTCTTCGGATCGAAGGGGAGATGAAGCTGTTTGCTCCACATGATAATCAGTCAGAGCGGGGATCCGTACGGGCACCTTCTGTTGGACCTTCGAGCGATAAGGACGATTTGGAGGACGAGGCAGATGGGGGGGATGAGGGGGACAAGGAGGACGAGGAGGACGAGGAGGACGAGGCCGAGGGAGAAGAGAAAGAGCCGAGGGAACAAGCCGCGGACGAGACGCCACGTCCCGTGAAACCGGATCCATTGAGTCTTCCAACCCCGAAAGTTACAGGAGCCTATGTCGAAACACCGGCGCCAGCGAAGGTAGAGGCTCCCCCAGAGAAAAAGGAGGACGAAGAGGAGCGGGGAGATCAGAAAAGCCAGGAGGAGAATCAGGTCATCTCGACTCGCTACAAGGCCAAGGCGCTGGCCACTCTGCCTGCGAGAGGAGCGTTGAGAGGAGCCTACAGTTCGGAAACATCAAACGAAGAAAAGTCAAAAGACGTCACGGTCGTGGTCGTGCCGGAAGATCGGGTGCCAAGGCAATCGGAACCGACAACAACGACATCGACGCTCCGTCGGCGCGCCCGATCCCTGCCGCGAGCTCGGCGGCCGCTGATAAATTCGGCGAAGCCACCTACGGTCAAGGACGATCTCCTTGAGATGCGTCGGACCTACCAGATCGAGGATTCGACGCTGGACGACTTGGAAGAGATCTTCAGGCAGAAGCCCAGCAAATTGCCAAGGGCACCCTCCCCCGAGATCCAGTTGATGCTCAACGCGATATCGACGAAGCGCGAGCAGGTGGCCAGCAAACCTAGCCTGGACAAGGTGAATCGTGATAGCGAGCTGGAGCTCTACGACAAGATGAGCAAGTCGCTCAAGGACGGTTTGCTGGGAATCCGGGCTGCCAAGATTGGCATCGAGCGACTGGAGGATAATCTCGCCCATTCGAAAACCCTGCCCGTAAAGGTGGAAGAGGCTGGGCCGGACGCCAAGCCTCCCAAGTCCGAGAGGACGATGGGTGCGGACCATAAGCACAAACATTCCAACCTCGACGACCACTCTAAGCCGCGGCCTGGCTACACGTCTCTCACATGCCCACCCGACGTTTTCGCCTACTATCATCTTCCCATTCCGCGCCTCTATCACGAGAAACCCTTCCGCCTCAGTCTCCTCGGATTGCTCGTCCTCCTCTTCTCCGTCTGGTTCGCTGCCGAGACGACGACTTGCAGCCTGTACTGTCGGCCCTCGACTTGCTCTGCCGCCGAGGCCCCCTGCTACTGGTCGCCTGACGATCCCACCTGGGGTTACTCCCTCCCCATCAAGCTGGACGAGTGGGTCACCGACGGTCACGGCCGACACGTGGCAGCCCAGCTCGCCGAGCAAGCCTCGGACCTTTACCTCGACGCATGGGATTACCTCAGGGGCACCGACATCCGCGACGTCGACACGGAGTCTCTGGATTTTCACGAGAAGCGGCAGCACCGGCGCCGACTGCGGAAGAAGGGCCTCCTCGAGTCATACGTGCCGCCCGAGGAATACCGCGACAAGTGGGAGTCGTGGCACGAGGTGCGCGTGGGGATGGATCGGGCGGACGAGATCAGAGAGGCTGGATATGATGAGTCTGAATCTGACGATGTCGAGACGTTTGCGGCGGATGAGGAAGTCTAATCGATGTCCATTTCCAATTTCCATTCACCAGGTGGACTTGGGAGGATCGGGTTAATTTGATGGATGTGCCAATATGACAGACATTGAATACCCTATCTCCCTTTCCCTCCCTTCTGAGCTGAACTTGGAAGAACACGCCTGTCCCTTCGGGCTCACGTTATCTTTTTTCTTTTCCTATTATTATTTCTTCCTTTCCTCCTCTTACTCTTAAGTGTTTGTCATGTCCTGGCAATCGTCATGTAATTAGCTAACACTATATGAAGCGAAGGTAGGAGAAAAGGCGGACTCTGAAGAGGGAAGAGACTTCTCAGTTGGCTCTACAACGATATGAACGGAGAATGGGGACCCATAGCGCGGCGTTCTCGGAACCAAACCAGGGGGAGCAGGAGGGTTGGTTTTGGGTTTGTTCTACAATTACGAATACCAATAGTATACGAGAAAACAAAAACATAATACGTAACGCGTTAACGGAGGACGTCCGAAGGCTGTGCTAACTAACGTATTTATCAGCAACAACAATTTTACGAATGGCTGCCGTCGTGAGAATGGTGGGTGGACCGATTTCGCCCCGAGTCACGAACGTTCCGGTGTCGACTTGTGGGCTCGGTCCACAGAAGGGCACTTATTCAAAAGAAGGACACGTTATCTTGTTTCTCGAACGGTATGCCCTTCGGAGAGTTTCCAGAGATTGATTCGTCTTACTCGCTACATCAGCCCTTTCCTTCGTCGTAACGGCGCGATTACTCCGTACACGTACGTGTACAAGGTGTCCAGGAGCCTATGTGCGGATCTCCTCCTATCCACCTCTGCTTTCGAGATGAGCTTGAGCTATCCTCGCGGCGGACGGTAGGTAGTTTACTTGGCTCTCTTCGATAAGCACGGGAATATCATAGTGTGGCCACTTCTTCCGTATTCGAAACACAGCTTACGAGGTCCGAGTGGATCAAGTAACGGGCGGCAAAGAAGGGAAAGGCACTGTACTCCGTGGAATATAGCAAACGAGTCATGCTGGAAGTTTATCTTATTTAACCTTTCCGCGTCGCCGAATGCGGGAGTTTAAAACCGTTGGCGAATGGCAAATGGCGAATGGCGAATCTCCGAGGAGCTTGGTTTGGATCAGATATAGCATCGGGACCTTGGGTGTGCCCCAAGCTCGTTTTCGCCTCGCCCGCCGTCGAGGCCAAATTTACGGACACCTGATTACCTACTGGTTGCGGCCATCAAGTGAATGACTAGGCCAGATCCAACGTTATTTCTGAGTAGACCGGGGAGGGGGGCAGTGCACTTCAGTGTGTAGGCCAGCCATCCCCCTGACAATCTTGCTTTCTTTTCGCTGCTGCCTTCGTCGAGTGGCGGACGGCCCCATCCAACTCGGCATACCGCACTTTGCGCTTCTACTTCATTCTAGTTGTCCCACAAAGTTTCCGCCGTCGAGTCCGGACCTCGTCCATCACCGGGGGCAGTTTCCGCGGAAGAAACAGACAGACGTTACAACGTAGATGGATGTTCGCACATGAATACCTGAACACCAGTTGAATGGGTAACGTGGAGGTTTCTCGGTGCTGGAGATGGCGCAGCAGCACAGTCTTGTACGTTCTTCAGCTTTGCGATACAGAGTATGTGTACGGAGTACGGAGTTCGGAGTAGGCATGTCGACCGGCTGACTGCGTGGTCATGCGGGCTGTTTTATTACATAATCTGGGAACTAGACCACACGGAGTCAACTCGAGAACCTGTTCCCTCAAACGTACCTTCTTGAAGTACATCCAAAATTCACATACCTTAGTATTACGGAGTGCAATTGCCTTATGCCATGTCTTCGCTTTTTTTTTTCTGGGTATCCTACTAAGGTACACAGGCAAAATCGAAGCAGTACCGGACCCTTGTACCCGTACATCCTACACTTACACAAGGCGGACCAGGGAACCAAAAGAGAAACCATGGCCCCGAGGCACTTTCATTGGGTGATGTGATGCTGATCCCAAACATATATCTAAGCTTATAATCACTACCGGTACAACACGAAGTACGAATATGGCCAGTGATGACCATGGGCCGACACGGGCCGCAGACGGGGGCCCGTCAGAACGAGTGCGCCTTCGCTGCGTGCTGCTGTACGGGGTATTCAACATCCGGAGTAGTGAACATCAAATCGAGGCTACCAGGTGTTAGATTCCCCGTGGAAGGCCCGGGACTTTTCACGAACAAAACAAATAAATAAAAACATGAGCCATCGGGCGTCGTCGACAACGCACACAAGGATCAAGACCGGATCCTCGGGACATCCTGTGAGGATAGGACTTTGCGGAATTGCTCACAGCACCGCCTCCGCCTTCCCCGCCGTTCTCTCGTGTTATATATTTGCATACCTATTCACACAAACCTCCCAGGCAGCAACAAAAAATACATTCACTGCGAAGGAGAAGAAGGGCTTTGAGAGAGACGAGATGCAAAGAGTAAAAGGACGGAAAATGCTGTATCAGAGAGGGGGAGCTTCTTCTGGTGCTCCCAGAATAATTCTTGCGGTTGTTTTTCTAGCATAATTCTTCTTGTTCGAGCCTCCCATGGCAAAATGAGCCCCAGGGTCGCTTTCCGTTCCAAAACAATATAACCTCCTGTTTCCCCAAATCCTTGGGTCCGTTTTTTCCACGCAAAGAAAAGAAAACATGTCCGTAACCGTCGTAGCCCGTGAAAAGAACTGGTGGGAAACACTCAAGTCTCGCTTGGCTCAGAAGCACGAAGCATACAAAACAAAACAAAACAAAAAAAAAAAAAAACCCCCCCATCGCTTGGTATCACGCCTTCCCACCCACGCTTTCCATTCTATTGTGTTTGATATTGTTCTTCGATGTTCTCCCCTTGCCTGGAAAGAAGAAGAAAAGATCCCCGCATCTAGGAGGCGGGCCACTCAAACGGGGCAACCAGTGCAGTTTGGCTTCCCCGACCAAAGTTCGCCATTAGAAATAATGGTATATGTCCCCCCCGGTGGAAAGAGAATATAGAAGACGAAAAGAAGAAGAAAAGGCCAATGAAGTGAAACGGAGGAAGAAATCGATCGTGCCGCTTTTTCCTGTCTGAATGTACGCCCGCTGCGCCAGCAACATTTTGCTCTGATAATCGTTCATCAGCTCGCTGATGTTTTTCAAGTTGGCCCGGCCACTTCGTGACTTTTTTTGAGCTGTTCTTTTTGGACTAACCCAACGAGCAACATCGTCCATGTTGTAAAAAAAAACCTCCATTGATTCCCAACTCCGCGCTGTTCGAAGAAAAAAGAGATAGATTTGAGTCGTAACAAGTGAACGAGAAAAGAAAAAAAGGAAATAAAAAAAGGCTCCAACGATCGGATCCGTGATATGGACGTGAGGTAGATCTCGCGGAATACATACAAGTCGAAGTTAAAAAAAAAAAAAAAAAAAAAAAGAGAACGTAAATGTAGACTCTGGACCGGAGCATTGGCCGGCGTCACGGACTTGTCCTGTCTTGCGGTCCGGGAAGTGACACAACACCCAAGACAACCATGGGTCGGCATTAGCTCCAATGACCAGACCCTTCCCGAGGTAAGGAGGAAGGTAGAAAGGGTTTGGCGTGCGACGTTATCGAGGCGCCGCCGGTAGAGTAGGATCCGACAGGGAATCCTAGACCAGACAAGTCCAACAATCCCAGGAAGGTTCTCCGAGAGAAGCATGAATCCATAGAGGTTATTCCAAGAACGCAATTCTTCGCCGACCCTCTCCTCGGCCAAGACAGCGGGGGCCGTTTTGCTCAAGGAATCCATTAGAGGGAAGCTAATAGCAACCTTGAGAAAACAGAGGGACCTGGTGGTGAAACGGAATGTGCGGTTGTATGGCAGGGCCCTGTTGTTGGACGCACTTAACCATGTCCCACCAAAAAGGGAAGTAGGAGGTCTTGGGTTGTTGAACACAAGCAACATGTGGAGCAACCGGCAATGGCGCGGGCACCTGCACAACCATGGAATCCCGCGAGGAAACAGGTCCTGTGTAATGTTGTCCTTGTCCTTGTCGCGGCGGTGGTGGTTGTTGGGGCACAAATTCCTGGACTGGGTAACCAAACGGCGCTGGGGTTTGTTCCTCCGGCTCATACATGCGCGGTGGCGGAGAAATCTGCCGCTGGTCATTCTGCTGCTGCTGCTGCTGCTGCTCCTGGAGAAAGTCCTCGTCAAGGTCGTCAAGTGTCGACACGCTCGAGGTGAGCGAGCTAGAGTCGTGTGAACAGATAGAGCCATCGTCATCGCTGGACGAGGCCGGAGAGAGGCATGCGTCGTCATGGTCTTGATCCACGACGGCATCCTCACAGTGAACGTATTCGAAGAATTGGGGGGTGCTAGGCGCCGGAGAGACCGGCGGGGTAGGCAGCGGTGCGGCGCCCGCCGCCGGGACGGTCAATCCGGAGCAACCCATAATGCGGGTCCGGAGTTCCCGCAACGTGATGCGCTGTTCAGGGTCGCGCGTGAAGATCCTTCCCAGGATGTCGTTGAGCTCATCCGTCACAGGCAGGATCGTTTTGAGAAATCCCGGGTTCCGGCTAAAGGCCCGGTACGTGGAGTCGTCGAAAGACGCCTGTTTCCATGGGTTGCGTCCACAGGTCAGGTTGACCAGGATGACTCCAAGGCTCCAAACATCGTTGGGCGCGCAAAGATAGAAAGGATTCCTGGAAGAATGGTCCAAGCATTCTAGAAGAAGAGAAAAGAGTGAAACGTCAGTGGGAAGTCACGGGGAGGGGAGCGTGAGACGGATGGGGCGAAGATGGGGAAGGGAAGAATGAATACAAAATGAGGAAAGAAGAAAACGCGAGTGTGTATGAATGTAAAAATCATCCCCTCGAAGACGAGAAACCTCCCCCCCGGGAAATCTGCCTACCTGGACTCATGTAAAAGGTTGAACCGCAACCGTAGTCCTCGGATCGATCATCGGCAGTGGCAAGGCCAAAGTCGGCGAGCTTGACAGTCTCGCCCTGGTCAGTAACCAAGATGTTTTCCGGCTTTAGGTCCCGGTGGTAGATCCCAAGGCTGTGGCAGTGTTCTACGGCATCCAGTATCTGGAGGAAGACTCTCCTGGCGAGGTCGTCCTTGCCCACATAGCGGCCACGCTCGGTGATGTTGTAGAAGAGATCTCCCTCGGGGCAATACTCCAGGATGACATAGATGCAGTCCGGGTCGTCGACGATCTTGAGCAGCGACAAGACGTTCTCGTGAGTTGAGGCGAAGTAGTGAAGGCGGATCTCCCGGTTCTGGAAGGCGACTTGCCGGCGATCGAGGGGGGTTCCGTCAGGGTTGAACTTGCTGAGGCACTTGACGGCGTACCGGAGGCCCGTGTTGACGTCGACGGCCGTGTAGACCACACCATAGGCTCCAGTTCCCAAGATGCTCGTCAGCTGCAGCTTTCCTTCCAGGAACATTCCCAGGCGCTCCTCTGGTCTTAGCGGCACATGTCCCGTTTGGCAGTGAGGTGGTGTTGTTACGGGTTGCTGGAGAGAACTCTTCTCGTCGTACACCGGCGATGCTGGCGGGGTGGGATATCCAAAGCCCAGGACATGCTGCATGGTTTGAAAAAGGAGGGAGCTTCCAGGGGTCGCAAAGCGGGGGATAAGGGATGGAGATTCCTTCTCGGATACCTGGGACCAGGGTGGAACACTCCTCAACGGCCGGGAAAAAAAAGAAGAAAAAAAGGAAGAGTCCAGATAGAGACGAAGAGAAAAGGAAAACCTGGCAACGTGACCAAAAACTTTCGGGGTTGGAACGGCTGATGGGGGCCTGCAACCACAAGTGGAAACAACAGCAAGCAAACAACCTGGCAGTACGGCCTAGAGATCTGGATGAGAATGGACCTTCAGAGCGGGCGAGATCGCGAAGGTATTGATTTGACGTCGAGTAAACGAGTCAAACAAGGTTACTGCTTTTGCGCTGGGAGCATCTGGAAAGAGTCGTTTGAAAGGAGAATAAAAATATAGAGGGTGGAAAAAAAAAAGGGAAAAAAAGGAAAGGGGGGACGTCGGAGAGGTATAGTTGAGAAAGTCGACAAGTCGAAATTAAAACGTATGGGCGACGGAGAGTAGAGGCGAGTAGTCGTAAAGGGTCCGAATTAACCACCCCAATGAGCCTATCGAAGGGTAGTGTAAGTTGTTAGAGCAGGGCGAAAGGAAAGATAGTCGTAGTGGAAGAAACGTTTTGAGCGCGACTACGGGAAAGAGCCTAAGAGAGCCGAAACAACAAGGCGCACGATGGTGGGATGTAGATGGTTGATATCTCTGGCCGAACACCGAAAAGGAAACGATCGAGGCGATATGGGAGCAGGCAGTGCCCCCCGGAACGAGTGGGCTGGGAGTGCTGTGTGGTCCGTGAGGCACCCACCTCTCATCACAGACCAGACACAGACCAGCGGCCAAGCGACCAGCGACACCGGCGTTCTCTCCCCTGGCCTCCATGGGAGCGGGGCCACAAGATTAAGTGACAGGGATGGAACGACGCGCATGTCTTAGCACATGGACCCACTCCCTCATTCGCCCAGGCCACTCTTGTTTCGACAAGGCCCAGCTGCCACTCGACCGGAGAAGAAAGGGGGTGTGTGGGTTTGTTCGAGAGGGTGGATGGTAAGGTAAGGTGTAGGTACGTTGTAAGTATCCAATCCGGAGACGAGGAGTGTTGCCTTTTTCACACGCACACACACACACCACACATCTTCTGTGTCTCCTCTTTCTCCCACTGTCTTCAATAAGCTCTCTCTCTCCTCCGCTGATGGTGGTGTGGAGGCGACCGCAGACAGGCTAGCCAACCAGTTGGCCTTCGCCGAGCCAAGCTAAGCCCTTAGAGGAGAGCTGCGGGTTGCGTGGTGACGAGTCGTGAATTTTTCGAGTTCACTCGATGACACAGAGCCCTTAATAACGCGTAGTGGCTAGGTTAGTGGTCAGATGCCCGGTCCGGTGCAATTACTGCTGCCACATATGCCTAGCCACTGCAGCCAGTCCTTCATACTTAGCCAGTAACCAGCCGGGGTGACGGCTCCACGCCTCTGACGTTTTGCGCCTGATGATGCTGCTGCTGCTGCTGCTGCCGCTGCCGCTGCCCTGTGCCCTGTGCCCTGTGCCCTGTGGCGGGCAGGGAGGCGACATAACCGTTAAAAGCGGGCCAAGTGATGAGACTGGCTGCACTGCATTGCACTGTTCAGAGTCGTTCTTCGATCCTTCCGGACGGGGTTGGGCGAGCACTCCTCGAAACACATAATGCCGGATCCATGACTTTTGCCAGTTTTGGCAAGATTCCCCTTCCCCTTCAGATGGAGTAGCGGTATCCCGCATCCCCCCCTTCGGTCCTCCGCAAGCGCCTATCCCATTTAGGGCGCGCTGCCGAGGGCGTTCCTCGGCTAGGAAATTAGCGTCTATGCCCAAAGTCCCGGTACATCGTGAGATCGTGGACTACTGCTATGTCGCTAGAGGTACTATCTAGGAAGCTAGCCATTATAATTGGCTGGGGGGGTACCTAAACGATACCTAAGACTGCCCACGTATCGTATGCCTCTACGGACTCGAGCAGGGCTCTATATATTAAAGCCCTTAAGGGCGTAGGCGGCTTCGGACAAGGGAAGGACATAGTGAGATTTTGAGGCTGGAGATTAATGTAAATATCTTAAAATAGCAGCGAATTCGTACGTTAAAGCATCTAAGGTGAGTCGGATGAAAATTCTTCGTCTTCCCTGTGTCCACGATCTGTACCGGGACTTTAGGTACAGACGCTAATTTCCTCGCTAAGGAACGCCCTCGCCTAAATAGGATAGGCGCTTGCGGAGGACCGAAGGGGGGGATGCGGGATACCGCTACTCCTTCAGATGGGATTCCGATCCTGCTAGGAAACTGATTAATAGATCAGCGGGCGTTTTTGGTCCTTTCGACCCCTTTCGGTGCGCCGCTTTTCCAGTCGAAAGGATAGTCATCTTGGTCTCTGCTTGGATCAGAACGATGACGGTTCGTTCTTACAAAAGGGTTGTGCTACCAACAAGGACGGATCCGTCCGCGTTGCGTGTGGTAACTGACCACACTCGCCGGCTGTAACGGCGGCAATGCTTCATGATGGCATGTCAGTCGGGTGGTTGGCTTAAATGGATGGCGCTGCTGAGGTCTCTCTGGGGCTTTTGTGCTGGTGACTTTGGTTACAGGTTGGGACGAGTTCTGTCGCAGCACCCGTCGGCGGCTGGCTCGTACAACTCCTTAGTGGTTGAGGGTTCCATCAGCCCATAATTCAGCAGTAACTGACTGGTTCTTTCGTTTGCAAACGTCTGTTTGTATACGAAGCCTCGATCTGGTGCAGCCACTGGTCACTATTGGGACAAGTCCCCGGGGGGGGGGGGGCGTATTGCCTTTGCCGTTTCCGGCCTAAACATTGCATGCCGACGAATGCAGACAGCAGAGCGGTGTACAAAGTGCTAATCATTCGCGTGAAGTCGCGGTCGACTTTCGTTAGGTATTGCGTCGTGCCGGGCGGCAATATAAAAAAAAGAAGAAGAAAAAACGGAGCCCGGTGCCGGTAATCATCGGTCAGCGGATCGTCAACTGGGAAGTTGCTAACATTTGCATTCGACTTGACCAAGGTGGCCCGGTGAGCGATCAACCAGAGGGCTCGCGTGTCTGTCCTAGGTTAGCGTTTGTCCGAGCTGTCACCCGCTGGTTACGTAGTAAGGAATGAGATGCGCAGAGATGCCACCTAACGTGGTCATGCGGCATTGCAGGGCTTTGTTGCTGCTGTTGTTTGGGATACATGAGCGAGAAGCTGGGAATTAACGGGGCGGGGCCGTGGCTAGGGAACTGGCTTCGTCTTCCGAGGAGGCTTGGTCGGTAAGCCCAGGTCGAGTCCAGCCCCAACAGAGTTAGCATGAAAGGTACGAAGGTACAGAAGTACAGAAGGTACATACATATGTACAGAGGGATACTGTAGAGTGTGTGACATAAAGCGTGTATATTGAGTGTGTGGAAAAAGGGAGCTATCTAGATCCCACGGCTAGACCTCGAGGAGGTTTTGTCGCATTGGCACACGCGAAGATTTCCCCCAAGTCAGAAGAGTCAGAAGAGTGCATTTTTGACGTGCAACAGGTTTGGCTACCTAAATGCGGCAACCTGATTAGTTAGCTGTGGGCACGGACCACCACCGCAACACTCCCCCGTAGGCAAAGCTCTAAAAAATAACTCAAACGGCTCAAACGGCCGAAAAGCTCAAAAAACGCGTAAAACGCAAAAAGCTTATAAACAATATTAAAATTCTTGTATAAGTATTATTAGTTAGGCACTTCAAAGGCCATAAGCTAACTTATACTTTTTTTCTCTTTTTAGTAGCTAATCACACATATAAATAAATACCGATACTTCCCGACTTCTTCTAATTAACTGCTATACCAATCGTTCTTTCGAGTCTATATTATATCGAACTACCAAATAAACCCTCTAAATAATAATCTCCAATACCCTTATTACTACTACTAAACGCTTTCCTCGCGTTTTTAATCTAATCCTCCTAGGTGCCACGATAAGATAAGGTCCGAGGTGCCCTCTCGCGCCGTTAAGTTATTGGCGTGTTAATTCGCTTAACGAGGTCGCTTAAAGCAGCCTATCGCTTCTCGCGATAGTGACGAATTAGGACTAATAGTAGATTAGGTTCACGGCCTGCGCTCCTATCTCTAAGGGCCTTACTATCGTAGCTTCTGTTATAGTCGCTATTCTCGTGGTTATTATTAGGTAATACTAATTAATTAGTTACCTATATAGATATCCAACGTCTCTAGGTCTTTAGAGATCGTCTATTATTAAGTTAACAGCACCTATTAGTACTCTATCATCTCTATAAACCGTGCCTAATCGTCACTAACGGTATCAGACTAGCATTTACGGCTACGTCTTAGTAGTCTATAGTAATCTATAGTAATCTATCGGCCTTTTAGCTCCTTATTAAGGATAGACTATACTAATCCTTCTCTCCGCTATATTTTGTCTCCTAGCAAAGCCAGTTCTTAACTGTTATAATAGCAGTTTATAGGTATATAAGGCCTCTTCTATCGGCTATAGGAAGAGGTGCTAAAATAGTCTCCTCTAACCGCCCTTACGGGGGTTTATTATACCGTTAGTTCTATATAGCTAAGCCGAGTTAATCCACGAATTCGCGGTGCTTTTAACGGTTAAGGGCTTTAGTAAGGCTATCTACGGCTATCTCTCTAGTACTAACGTGCTTAAGGTCGAATTAGCCTGCTTCTATCCATTAGATAATCTATTTATATCTCGTGTCAATATACCGCGTTCATACCGTGTTAAGGGTATTTAGTACCTAGCTTAAAGCTCTAGTACTATTAGTTATTAGGAGTAAAGGTCTATTAATTAGAGAGGTTATTGCCGCGACGGGGTTAGCGATCTATTAAAGATTAAGGGCTATAGGTATAAGATTGATAAACTCGGCCTCTATAGTGCCTAGAGTAATAAACGGCTGCTTTTTAGATTTCTATATAATTAGTCCTCCCGCGAGAAATACTATATAGCCGCCTATTAAGGTTCTGCTAACTATATCTGCGTGGGCGGTATCTGCCGCTACGTATAATCCTCGCGATAGTATGCCTTTAATTCCCTTACCTCCATAGGTGATATTATATCCTAATATGCCTTTAATATACCGCTATAGATACTTTAACGCCGTTTAATATACCTCTATTAGACCTAAATTTACTTCGTATAGCTTAGAAACTACGAAGGTAATATCGGAGCGTATTCTATAAGTAAAGTAATTAAGGCTATTAGTTGTTTATAGATACTTTATCTTAATGCCCTCGTTATAGAAAGGATCTGCTATAATGTTAGCTTTAAAGCTATCTAGTAGAGACGTTATTATAGAATTATAGTTAGTTATACCAAACCTATTAAGGATCTTCTTAGTATATTATTATTAATTGATTATAACTGTCTTTACTATCCTGTTTTTTATAATGTTAAAGCCCAGGAACTACTTCACTTCTCCGAGATCTCTTAAGGTATATACCTTTAATAGGGTATCGCGAACCTTTACTATAGCTTCCTTAGTTAGGGTAGCCACGTAGACGTCGTTAACGGAGATAAGAATAATAACTCTAGTAGTCTTATTAATTAGTATGTATCTATCACTATCTAGTAGTTTAAAACCGAGGTTCTTTATATACTTGGCGATATGTCGAAACCACTATAATAATGCTTCCTTTATACCGTATAACGCCTTCTTTAGAAGGCAGACCTTACCCGGAACTATAGGAAGGCCTTTAGGTTAATTAATATATACTTTAATACCTACGGGGGTATCTACCACGAGGAAAGCAGCATTAAAATCAAAGCTCTCATATTTAAGGTCTTCTATCGTAACGGCTACGAGGAATATCATAAGTAAAGCTATCTATACCACTACTATGTATAGATCTTAAACTAACTAGTCGCTAGCTTATTAATTTCTATAAACTATCTATCGAGCTCTATGCCTAACGAGGTTACCTTCCTCGTTATACTTATTGTTATAGACCTATTTACCTAGAAGCACTCTAGTATCTTAAGGTCTATTAACTAGTTCCTGGACTCGACGGTCGTTAAGGGCTTTTAGTTATTATTCTATGACGGGTTTATAGATTATTATAAAGTCTGATCATTTATAAGCTTCTTTATAGGTCTTTAGTATCTAGCTATAGCTCGAGGATATTAGTTAAACGACCTTATCTACAGTAGGCATACTAAAATAGGTAATCCGTTCTTAATTAATGGAATCTAGTAATATTAATTACGTGACTTTATTAGTTATTTGTTCTGGGGTTACTCTGTTAGTTTAAAGCTCCCCCGTAAAGAGACGATCCTACGACGCATCTAATTATTAGTGGCCGTCCTATGAAACTTATTAAGGCTATTAGGTAATAGTCTTAATAATATCGATAATCACCTTATCTATAGATATATTCACGTTAACTAGTACAGCTTCGTAATCTAGAGCGGACCCTTAAGATAGATCTTCTTAACTATTCTCCGTAAACTTAATATCTCGAACTCTTAGTACTTAGTCTAGTTTAGGTACCTATATACTATAGATATATCTATAGATAGAATCGTATCTAACTAGCCTGTCTTTCTACGCCCTTAGCACTATCTTATTAGCCTTAGGTGGTTTAAATTAACCCTTCTTATAAATATAGGCCACGTAGCTATAAGTTCTAAGGTATTTAATATAGAGTTTCCGTTAACCTTCTGGGCACTTAAGAGCTCTAGCTAGCTTTTGGTGAGGGCTAAGTCCTAGCAGAACTCCCTTATTTAAGGGCAGGAGATTTAATATCTCTGCCGAGGTCTTTAGGGTATATACCTTAATCTATTCTAGGAGGTAATTATTAATAATAAAGGTGCGTGTTATTTCTATAATAACAGCGTCTACTCTTTTGCCTCTACCGTTTTAGGCTAGGGTATAGATAGCTATAAAGAGAATCGTGATCCCTTCCTCTTTAAGATACTTCTTAAGGTTATCGTTATTAAATTCGCCGCCGTTATTACTATAGAAGGCTCTAATCTTAACGTTAGTCTAGCATTCCTATCTTACCTTAAAGTCTTGAATTTCCTTAGCTATTATTATTTTTTTCTTATCACGAAGCCACCGTATATAGTAATAGCCGGTATACTATTTAACCTAATAGATAACGTATCTATATTCTCTATAGACGATAGGCTTAACTTTAATAAGCTCTATATTAAATTTACTAGGAGTAGAGGGTACTGCTGGTTTAATTCTTAAGGGCTATTCCTTGGATTTAGCCAAGTAGCAGGCTTCGTAGTAGAACGCGTTTACTTAGACTACGTTAAACGTAATGCCCTTAGCTTTATAGGCGTTAACGATCTTAGTCCTACCAACGTGGCCGAGTCTTTTATACTATAGTTCGAAGTCGGCGTTACGAAACTTTATATTCATAGCTACACAGGCCAGGGCGTCCTATATATTGTAATTTCTATCTTCCACTTAAATAATAGCGATATCTGTTTTCTTACTAACCTTAACGAGGTATTACCCTGTTTTCTTTATATAAAGGACTTCCTATTCGTTACTATAGCTAATTCCTTAGCTACGAAGATATCCGGAAGATATAAGATTTACTAGAGCGAAAGGATAGTACTAAACCTATTTTATAGTCTATTCGTGAATTTCCTTAGTAGTAGGATCCTTAGTTTTAAGAAAGATAGAGCCTATTCTGTGTAGGCGAGAGTTACTACTATCTACGGTCTTTATATATAGCAGGTTATCCCTTAGGGTATAATTCTTAAACTACTTAAGGTCGTTAAAGGTATTAACCTAATAGCCTAAGTCCTAAACCAGATTATTATAAGCTACTATAGTGGATTAGACTACTATAATAAGGAGAGCACCGTAAAGAGATTATTAATTAAAGGCTAAGCCTCTAGACTTAACTTAGACCTCTTTTATATCCTTAGATATAGCTTCCATGAGCTTATTATCTAATACGCCAGAATAGCGCAGGACTATATGTATAGATAGTCCTCGCGCACTAGGCACTATACGCACGTATAGTGCCCGGGCCAGGTTCTCTATACGTATATATAGCCCCGAAGACTAGGAATAGACCGGTCGTATAAAGAAATAGATAGTCCGGGGCTTAGCGAGGATATATTCCCGGTAAGCCCGCCTTTAGATTAGTAGAGGATATCTTTATTATACCCTATTTTCTATACCTAAAGGTTATTATTCCGAACCCTAGAAGCCTTAGGTCCGATAATACTGGCTGGCTAGAGATATACCTGGATAGGGTATATTAAATAGTAGTAACTAAGCTTTCGAGTAAGGTTCGCGTACCGTCGCTTAACGCGAGCTATATATCCTACGATTATATAGACACGTAGTATACCGATAAAACCTTATAACCTTTAGAATGCTAAGCGAAGACGCCTCTCCTTTACTAGATTAAGGCGTAGAGTATATAAGAATTATAGCCTACTATTTATACGTAG